GCGTTCCCACTAAGAACGGGAACAAGACAAGGAGGCCCACTCTCACCCCTCCTGTTCAAAATGGTGCTGGGTGTCCCAGCCAGAGCAGTCAGACAAGAGAAGGAAATCAGGGGTATCCAAATAGGAAAAGAGAAAGTTAAGTTATCCCTCTTTGCTGATGATATGATTCTATACCCTAGGAAGCCCAGGGAATCTATCAAAAGCCTCCTCACGCTGATAATCAACTCTGGTAAACTCTCAGGGTACAAAATCAAGGTGCAAAATACAGCTGCATTTCTGTATACAGCAACAAGCAGGAAGAAAACTAAATATAAAGCTCAATCTTATTCACAATAGCCACCAAAAATTGAAATACTTTGGCATCCACCTAACCAGAGAGTTGAAAGATCTTTACAATAAGAACAACAAAGCACTGCTCAAAGACATCAAGGATGACACAGACAAATGGAAAAACATTCCATGTTTATGAATCTGAAGAATCAATATTGTCAAGATGTCCATCCTAACCAAGGCAATCCACAGATTCAATGCAGTACCCATCAGATTACCAACATCATTTTTCTCAGACCTGGAAATGACAATACACAAATTCACATGGAAACAAAGAGAGCACAAATAGCCAAAACAATCCTTACCAAAAGGAGCAAAGTGGGAGGTATTACACTTCCAGTCTTTAAACTTTACTACAAGGCTACAGTAACCAAAAAAGTCTGGTATTGGTATAAACCAGGCACATAGACCAATGGAACAGGACAGAGATTCTGGAAGCAAAAACTTGGTCTGTAAACCAACTCATCTTTGACACAGCCACCAATAACAACCACTGGGGAAAGGAGACTATATTTAGCATTTGGTGCTGGGAAAACTGACTGGCCACATGTAGAAGAATGAAACTGGACCCCTACGTATCGTCATATACAAAAATCAACTCAAAATGGATCAAAGCTTAAACATAAAACCTCAAACTACGAGAATCTTAGAGGAAAATGTAGGAAACACCCTTCTGCACATTGGAGTAGGCAACACATTCTCGACCAAGTCCCCAGAAGTGAATGCCATAAAAGCTAAGATAGATGAGTGGGACCTCATCAAACTGAAAAGCTTTCACATAGCAAAATAAACCATCAAGAGAGTAAAGAAACAACCTACAGAATGGGAAAAAGATTTTTGCAAATTATGTATCTGACAAAGGTGTAACATCCAGGATCTACCAGGAGCTCAAATGAAGTGAAAGGAAAAAACCAACAGCCTCATTAAAAATTAGGCAAAAGACATAAACAGACACTTCTCAAAAGAAGGTATACAGGTAGCCAACAGTCACATGAAAAAATGCTCAGCCTCACTAATCATCAGAGAAATGCAAATCAAAACTACAATGAGATACCACCTAACTCCGTTAAGGATGGCCATCATTAGTAAGTCAATAAACAACAGATGCTGGCGCAGGTGTGGAGAAAAAAGAATGCTTCTATACTGTTGGTGGGAATGTAAGCTAGTTTAGCCTCTATGGAAAACAGTGTGGCATTTCCCAAAAGAACTAAAAATTGACCTTTTATATAATCCAGCAATCCCTCTCCTGGGAATATATCCAGAGGAGCATAAATCATTCTACAAAAAAGACACCTGTGCACGCATGTTTATTGCTGCACTATTTACAATAACAAAAACATGGAGCCAACTCTGCTGCCCATTGGAAGTGGACTGGAGAAAGAAAATGTGGTATATATACATGATGGAATATTATGTAACCATAAAGAAGAACAAAATCGTTAACTTCGCAGCAAATTGAATGGAGTTGGAGACCATCATACTAAGTGATCTGTCACAGAAACAAAGAACTGAAAGCCACATGCCCTCACTCATAAGTGAGCCCTGAACATTATTCACATTAACACAAAGGAGGGATCGGCAACGGGGCACTGCTAGGAGAGTGAGAGAGAGAAGAGGGTGAGAGCACGTAACGATACAAAGGTACCTGGTTCTAAGCCAGGGGGAGTGAGGGCCAGTTAGAAGCCCAAGCTTCACCTGCATGAAACCTACTTATATAGTTAATCCTCACTTGTACCCCACATCTCCATAATAAAATTTAATTTCAAAAATGTGCAAAAAGTACAGGCTAAAAAGATGAGAGTGATAAATTTGACCATGCTAAAACTAAAAATTTATTTATAGTAAAGGTACTCTAAACACAGTAAAAATTAAGCCACATTGGGAAAGGATATCTACAGCACACTTCACTAACAAAAATTGGCATCTAAATATATAACGAACTCTTACAAGTCAAAAAGAAAAAGAGAGCAACACCAGCTGGGGAAGCTGGGCATGTTATGCAGGCGAGGAAGCGTGGATTAACACCACCGGGCACCACCATTGCCAGTAGACAGGGACACTCCTGCGAGCTTGAACATGATTGCACCACTTCGCGTGTGGTTTAGGAGCCCTGCGGTGGAATGATTACACCTCTCCCATCCTTGTGCTCGTGTTAGATGTGTTTTACTTCTGCCAACGTTATACCTAACATACGTCATTAAGTTTGCTTCAAATAGTCAATTGTCTTTAAAAAGACTAAGAAGTGAGAAAAAAATGTCATTTGTTTTTACTGATTAATTTACCATTTTAGTACTCTTTATTCTTTTGTGTGGATTCTGGTTTTTATCTGGCATCATTTTCATTCAGCCTGAAGAACTTTCTTTAACATTTATTTTAGCACAAGTCAGCTGCTGATGCATTTTCTCTCCTTTTGTTTGTCTGAAAAAGGTCTTTGTCTTCATTTCTGAAAGATATTTTTGTTGGAAAGAGAATTCTAGCTTGTCAATTTTTTTTCTCTTTCTACTTTAAGGATATCATCCCATTGTCTTCTGTATTACATTGTTTCTGATGAGAATTTATCTTTTGTTCTCATCTTAATTTTCTGGTATATAATGTGCCTTTTTTCTCTCCTGACTGCTAGATGTTGTCTTTGTAGCTGGTTTGCAACAACTTGATTATGTTGTACTTTAGTTTGATTTTCTTTATGTTTATCCTGCTTGAAGTTCTTTGAGCTTTTTCTATGAGTTTGTATAGTTTTACTCAAGTTTGGAGAAAATTTGTCCATTATTTCTTTAAATATTGTTTTTCTTTTCCTTCCTGTCTCTTTTGTTGTCAGATTCTAATTTTGATTTTAGTTAAACTGTTTGATATTGTCCCACAGGCCCCTGAAACTCTTTAAAATTTATTTTTAGTTCATTTTTCCTCTTTCCTCAGTTTGGATAGTTTTTGTTGCTATTATATCTTTAGGTCATTGATCTTTTCTTTTTTTTTTCGAGTTGGAGTCTCACTCTGTCGCTCAGACTGGAGTGCAGTGGCCACTCCCAGCCACCGCAGCCTCGCCTGCTGGGCTCTGGCAATCCTTCCGCCTCAACCTTCCAAGTAGCTGGAACTACAGGCGTGCGCTACCACACCCGGCTAATTTTTTGATTTATTGTAGAGATGAGGTCTTGCCAAGTTGCCCAGGTGGGTCTCGAACCCACGGGCTCAGGCAATCCGCTCACCTCAGCCTCCCAAAGCACTGGAATTACAGGCTGAGCCACCGAGCCCAGCCTACTGATCTTTTCTTATGTAGGTTTTAATCTGCTCTGAAGTCCATCCAGCAAATTTATTTTATTTCTGATATTGTATTTTTCAGCTCTAGAAATTTCACTTACGGTTTTTGTATCTTGTCTTACTTTATCATGTTCATGTTTTGCTTCCGGTCTCTGATCATATTTTTTTTTAATTTTTAAATTTTATTTTAGAGACGAGATCTCACTATGCTGCCTAGGCTGGTCTTGAACTCCTGGGCTCAAGCAGTCCTCTTGCCTCAGCCTCCCAAAGTGCTGGGATTAGAGGCGTGAGCCTCTGTGCCCGACTTCTGATCATATTTTAAAGCTGTTTTGTTTCTTTCAGGTAATTGCATCATTTTTGTCTTTTCTGGGTCTTTTTCTATGGAATGCTTTTTCATATTATTATGGGTCACATCTTAATTCTTGATTTGATGCCAGACATTATGCATGTTTTATTGTTTAGTGGGTGAGCCTTGTTTTCTTCCTTTAAAGCATTTTGAAGGTTGTGTTTGCCAGCAGTTGAGTTACCCAAGGATCAGTTTGAGTCTGGCAAGGCTAATCCTCCTCTCTTGCTGTGCCTTTCCCAACTTGCTTTTGTTTCTTGGATTTGGAACACCCTTCTTCCCGAACTGGCCGAGTTACACGGTTCTTGTGTCCTTCCTTCCCACTGCCTCTCAGCTGAGCAAGCACAGGTCAGGGGTGGGGTGGGGGGGTGGGGGAGGGCCAGACAGATGAGCAGAGGAGGCCCTTTCTTCCCCCATTCACGTGCCTAGATGGTCCATGGTGGCTTCCTCCCATGCTTTACAGCGAGGGAGAGGTTGTCTGCTTAAGGCTTTCCTGATTGTAAAATGTGACCAATAAGTTGAACAGGAAGGGAAGTCCAGGATCCTTCCCTTCCTTATGCCATGGCAACTTGATCATGAGCCTCACCTTCACTCTTGTGAGGAGCAGACAAGGACAGAACTGACTGGGCTACTTCCCTATGCCAGTGGCTACTGGAGGACTGATTTCTCTGTTAGAACCAAACAGGAACAGTCAGGAGAACCCCCAGAGTTTGGAGTCAAGCTTCCTTGGCATGTGACCTTGGACAAGCTCTCGGTGTCTCCATCCCTAGGAGGTCTCAGAGTCAGTATTGCATAGGACTGCGTGGAGACCAGAGCCTGTGGCGAGGAGCCTGCACCCCATGTGCTGCAAGCACGTGGCAGGTCTTGGTGTCTGCTGTGGCTGCTGCTTCACTGTTCATGCATCTTCTCTCCTTCTCCCTCTCCTTCCCTCCTTTTCCACAGTTGGTTGATGATGTTTTCAGGGTGATGGAAAGCATGGTGTTTTTGAGCCGCATCTTTGGGCCCCACGCGCACCCTGTAAGCTGCCAGGCTTCCGTGTGGCTTTTGCTTAAGGAACTTACTTTCCTCCTTCCAGAGAGCTACTGTCAAGTGATGCAATGAAGGAGTACAACAGGGCTCGAGTCTACCTGGATGAAGACTACAAGTCCCAGGAGCATTTCACAGTAAGTCTCCCTCCCTCGGGTGCTTGTGTCAGAGAAGGCGACCGTCTGTCGAGGCCAGCGCTCCCTCTAATTAAGCGAGGAAGGGTGATTGGATGCTCCCTGCCACTCACCAATGCCTTCGTGCCTGACATCCCTGCAGCCTGCTCAGTGGTCTGAGTCCACGGCTGGCGTGGCAGGGAAGGTAGCCCGACACAGGCGGGGTCTTAGGTCCTCAGTCAGCCGCTGTCGTGTACCTCTGCGTCAGCCGGTCCAGAGGACTTTAGAGTGGGAGCTGGGAGTGACAGCCAGGGAGGGAGGGCTCAGGGCCTCGATATGCATGAAAGTGAGAGGGACTTGGGGCTCTGGCTGTACAAAGATGAGAAAGAAACTGAAACCTGGATCTTCTCTGCAGAGCAGCCTGTCACCAGCCCCACTCTTGTTCTCAGCCTGTCCCTTTGTGAGTCCTAAGCAGGTACCCGGGGCAAGTCTGCCTCAGAGAGAGGCTGCTGCTTGTGGGCAAGGAATGGGCCAGAGCTGTCCACTCGCTTAGAAAGACTCGTTCCTTCTCTGTGAGCCCCTGGTCTGGCGGGCATGGGAGAGGGTGACCCCAGTGGGCATGACAGCCGTGTAGCCAGGTGCCTGGGAAGGGAGTGGGAAGCTCAGGGAGGAGATGTGGGGTAGGTTTCCAATGACCAGTTGTTGGTTCAGAAACACATCTTAAGCCCCATCGCTGGGGAAGTCTTGGACTTTGGGTCAGTCTCCCCGCTTCTTGTTTCCCAGTGCGCCTCACCTCCCCTGTGTCCCATCACCGTGCCCAGCGGTACTTGGGTATTTGTCCTCTCCTCCCTGCAGGCAGCAGTGGTGTGAGAGTGCTCTCCAGCTCTTCCCCTGCCCCAGGACGCCTGGTCAGAGCAGGTGCTTAGCCCCCGTGCCAGCTGCACAGAGAGATGGCATGTGTGCCCAGGCCAGGTGGGACTCCCTGTGGGGCGGGGGAGGGGGTGTGACCTCGGAGTTGTCCTTTGGGTCAGAGGGTCCTCTGACAAGATTTCAGTCTTTAAATCTGCGGCATCCAGTGCCACTTAAGTAATTCCTCGGTTCCTGAGGTAGTCACATACCTGTGATTGCTGTCTCCAGCGGCAGCTGAGTCTGGAGAATCCTGCATCCTCCGTCTCTCTCCTTGCATGGCACTCCTCCAGGCTTCCCCACCCAGATGCAGTGGCAGCTGCACCTCCACCATATTGGACACACAGAGGCCTTGGGGCTCCCCCTTGCGCCAGCGCTGAGGCCCCTGTCCCCAGGCGCCTAAAAACACAGCCCCTCCCGCCAACCCCTCCTCCCTTTCCACCTTGGTTTCTCCTCTCTGCTGACTGCTTCCTTTTGACTTTGGACTTGCCCATCGTTGCCATAAAGAGGCAGCTCCCCTCGACCTTCGTGCTCTCCTCTGCCACAATCCAGCTTCCTATGGTTTTCAAGTGGGGCCTTTTCAGAGGAAAGGGGCAAGATCAAAGAAAAATAAGTGGGTTGGCTGAGCAGCAGATTAGATACTGCAGAAAGAAAGGGAAGATGGCTGAGCCTGAGGACACAGTCACAGAGACTATTGGTAGTGAAACACATGGAGGAGAAAAGGGACTAGAAAGTTGACAGAACATCACTGCGAAATGTCAGTGGTCTAATGTGGCTGGAGCCCCATAAGGACAGGGAAAAGGAAACAAACAGAGAAAGTACTTGAAGAAATAGTGGCTGAGATTTTTCAGAATTTCATGAAACTTATACAAAGATCCAGATATTGCATCATGCCTCGAGCAAAATAAACATAAAGAAAACCATCCCAAGGCACATTGAAGTCAGATTACTGGAAACAGTTGTGTCATGAGTCCTTTGTTACCTTACGAGGACCCATTATCCCTGTAAGAGCTGGTCTCTGCCTGCAGTCTCTCCTTACCACCCTGCATGTGAGCCTCGTCTATGGCCGTCAGTGGCCTCCTCTTTGTAGGACTGCCTCTCAGCTCTTCCCAGCCTCCTTTAGATGCAATATAAAGACCCTGGTGTTTTTAAAGTAAAGGGATGGAAGAAGATGTTCTATGCAAATAGTACTTAGAAGAAAGCTGGCATGGCTGTATCAGTATCAAAGTAGACTTCAGAACCAGGGGTATTACCAGGGATGGGGGAGTCATTCCATAGTTATAAAGAGGTGAGTTCCTCAAGAGGACACAGCAGTTGTCATTGTGTGTACCCCTCATATCAGAGCTCACATAGATTCGAAAACTGGCAGACCAGAATGGAGAAGCAGGCAGGTCTACAGCACAGGTGATTCTGGCACTCCTTTCTTGTTGACTGGTATGCAGGTAGACAGAGGATCACTGCCCACCACCCTGAGCACAATGGCATCTGTGGGCACTCCAGCCAGAACAGTGGTGTACACAGCTACAGAGAGAAGGCATGTCACGTGCTGGGGCAAAGACGAGGAAGAGCAGGCCTTCATCAGAGTGTGTGGCCAGAGCACTGTGAAGCCACATGCACAAAAGACTGGAAGAGAAGGGCAGCCGTCAGGCTCTTGTCTATTTCCACAGAAGTGTCTTTCAGCTTGAAGCTTCAGTCATGGCTTGTTCAGACAGTCGAAAGCTGTGACTACCTTTCAAGGCTGACTTTTAAGGTTTTTTAGACAGGCCCAGAGCAGCTCTTCTGAGGCTCTGGCTGACTCGCCTGTTTCCAGCCTCTGTGCCTGGCTGCTGGGCCCCAGCCATTCCAGTCCCAGATGAGCTCTGGGATCCTTCTCCCCTCTCCTTTCCAGGGATTTTCTTTGGCCATAGGTAGTTCACGGGAACTATTCTCCACAGAACGTTAGAATCTGGGCCGTAAAATGAACCTTAGCATCTGTAAGAGATTAAAATCATGTAAGATGTTCTCTCACCAAAAAGAATTAAACTAAAAGTAAATAAAAAGGATATATGGAAAATTCTCAAACATTTTAAAGCAAACCAACTTGAAAATAACCTCGTAAGTCAAAGAGAATGTTGCAAAGGATATTAGAAAATATTTCAGATTACACGAAAAGCAAACTAAAGCCTTCAGAATTTTGAGATACCAGAGCAGTCTGAATGTGCTGCTGGCTCTGTGTGTAGAGAGTTCAGTGAGAGGAGGCACAAGCCCAGTGGGAAAGGCACAAGCCCAGAAGGAAAACTGCACCTCTGTGTTCCAGTGGGAGGAAGTGCGGGGGCTAGAGCCAGGCATGCCCCTGCCCTCGACAGGCTGCCATTTGGTTGGTGTCTTAAAGTACTTGACAATCATTGTACATTGATCTATTCTTCAACACACATATTTTCTAATTTAAAATCGCTGTAGTCTCTGGAAGCAAGTGCAGGGACAGGGTGGCCGTACCAGATCTGAGGCTCTGAGTCTGTTTCTCTATTTGCCTGCATAACTGGATAGTTTCTCGAAGATGGGACAGGAGAAGGCTTGGGAGTAGGAGTGTGTCTTGGGCCTGCTCATGGGGAAAATGGGCTGTGGTGTGGGCTCCCTGACACCGCTTCTACTCTCCTCAGCCCAGCAGGTACAGAGCCTACCTTCCCTCTCTGAAACGCTGTCCACCCGGTCTCTCCTGCAGCCATAGTCCTGAGTGAGGTGCCTTTGGGGCCAGTTGGATGACTGGGCAGCCTTGTTTGGCCGAGGGAAGAGGGTCAGGCAGGCTCCAAACTCTTTGCCTGGAGCTCATTCCAGAGCCGGCACAGAGGGGTGTGTGCTCATGTCATCCCAGTCTTGTCAGAGACTGGAACAGCTGCCCTTGGGTCCCAGAGTGCCATTGCCCCCTGTGTGCCTCTGCGTCATGTTCTTTGCTGACAGGCCTTCTGGGTGTCCAGGTAGAGGGGACCCTACACCCCTGGGGTCCTGGGGAGAACTGGGCAGCAGCTGCCAGCCAGGCAGCACCCTCCTGCCCCAGCCTGGTGCCCTCTGGCTGTCGGAGGACAATTTAGTTTTTACAAGATTGATGGTATCAGAGCAATATTTTTAGCTGAGTCTGGTTCAAATAATAGGCCATTAATTGAAAAAGGAAATTGAAATGAATTTGTCTTGTACATAAATGCTGTCATGGATATTAATAGAGATCAGAAAATAGTGGCCTGTTCCCAGAAAGCAGTTGAACCTGAAGCTGCGCCTGGCAGTGAGTGCGTCGGGAGCAGTAGTGTGTTGGGGGGGGGGTTGCTGCTCCTGCCAGTGGGGACTCACCTGGAGGGGATTCTGGTGAACTGCAGAGGTCCATCTTCATTGCCACCAGGAGGTGGCGCCAGCGCAGCATCTCACAGCCTGAGTGTTTCCTACCATAAGTGCTCATGAGTCAATTTTTGCACTTAAAAAAATGATACTAAATTTTGTTTGCTCATGAGAACTGTAATGCGTGGCTGTTAACAGAGCCAGGAGGCTCATCTGGTCTGCCAAGAGACCAAGAAGACAAGTGCGTGGCCCTGGCAGGCTGCTGTCCGGGCTGCGACCCCTCCCAGGGCTTTTGTGGCTGGCCAGGTTATTACCTGTGTTTTCTGATGGAGGGTTGAGCACTGGAAGTCTGTTTCTTCAGAGGTGCTGCCAGTCTTGGTGTTCTGACACTAGCACTGATGCCTGGGAGCCATGTCCTCTTCATGAGAACTTGCCTGAGATGTTTCTCACTAGGTGGACTGATGGCACTGGCCCGGGGCATTGGTGCGGCTGAACACAGGACGGCAGGAATGGGTACGTGTGCCTCAGGGCCCAGAAGGGCCCAGGTTCCTCCTCCCTGCAGCGACCACCCTCACTGTGCTCAATACTTGTTCTGTTTATTATCCATCTTCCTCCCTGAATTCCTGCTCCCCAGAGCAGCAGCTCTGACTGTTCCTTGCTCTAGCCTTGAAGCCTGGAGTTGGGCCAAGGATATACTAGGTGATCAATAAAAATGTTTTGAATCGGTGAACGAGGAGTCCTTTGAGGTGGGTAGCACAGGGAACAGCGGGAACCAAGAATTCAATCTGTGGGCTGATGTGGGCCTGCTGCCC